GATTATAGCCCTAACCGGTTTGGCTCAGTGGATCGAGCGTCAGCCTGCGGACTCAAGGGTCCCAGGTTCGATTCTGGTCAAGGGCATGTACTTTGGTTGCGCGCACATCCCCAGTAGGGAGTGTGCAGGAGGCAGCTGATCGATGTTTCTAACTCTATCCCTCTCCCTTCCTCTCTGTAAAAAATCAATAAAATATATTTAAGAAAATAAAAATAATCATCATTCTTAAAAAAAGGGTATTTTGATTATAAAATGTTCATATACAAATAGAAAATATACCATTTGCCTCCATGAGTTGTTAAAATATTGAATTTATGTGAATCTCTACATTCATTTCCTGTATTAAGTCATATTTTCCTGCACGAGGAGATTTAATCTTAATATTCAGGCCCACCATATTCAAAGTCTTGGAACAAATTCGTTGGAATTTGGAAAATTTTGGACTTTAGAAAAATAATGTAGTGCATACATCATATAATACATGCAAGCAGTCTAGGACAGTTCTCACAATCAAATATTAATGTTCCTATAATGAAGTATTTATAAGGAAGGAGAATAGCTTCACACCATGAGATCAGTCTGTGTCACCAAATGAATTATGAAAACTTGGGGATGTTTTGTTGCTTTTCAGATTTTTTTGAATTGCAGGAAAGGGATTATGGATCTATATGGGTAAAACATTACAAAACATAATATTTAACCAAAGAAAATTAGAAAGTGATACAGAAACAGTATATTATGTAAAAGACATTGTTTCTGTAACAATGTTCGTATGACCACCGATCGTGTTTTTCAACTACCAAAATTTACTTTTTCATGCCCTTCTCACCTTTCATGAACTCTTCCCTAGTTCAGTATGATCCTAGCCAGGACACTCATATTCTTTATAACCAAAGTCTTAAAACTCCAGGTAAGTCATTAAATTAATTCTCATTTATCTCAATCAGTTTTACTTTTCTGTGATAATAACATGTTTCTAGAACAGTGTACTCCATATTGTGCAGTCAGTACAAACTTTTGAATAGAGTATTGAGAATATTTTATGTAAAACGAAAGCCCTATGAACCTATTTGTAATCTACATTAAGTGTTCAAATGTGACCCAATAGTAAAAAAAGTTTAAAAATGTTTTTAACTCTCTCTTTTTAGGAATTTGAAGCTCATCTCCTAACATTTGTTCTCTTGACTTAGATCGCATTTATTTTAAAGTTTACTTTCTATTGTTTTCCTGACTCATGAGGAATTGACACCTGGTCGTATATTTCAAAATGTTTCTGATAAAAGCCAAACTTTTTATTTCTAATTCCAGATAGAAGATCTTTCTGATGAAGTCTTCTCCCTAAGACACAAAAAATATGAAGCGAGAGAGCAAGCCAGATGGTCGCTATGGGAACAAAGCAAGTGGCACAGAAGAAACAGCAGGTAGATGTTATACATTTAAAACCCAAAACCATAGCATCCATGTGGAATCCACAAAAATTCTGTATGAATAATGAGGAAGGTCACTAAAAAGAAAAGATACCATATACCCTTAGCTATTTGTGCACTAGAAGGGAAACACTGCATATACTGAGCTTACACTCAAAATATATTTGGGCTCATACATAGTGATAAAATGAGTTTCTGTATTTCACTCCAGTCTAATGCTCACAGTTAGCCTCAGGGATAGATTTAACTGAGCAAATAATGTGATAATTCTTCCCAGATAAAGGAGGTTATTTCAATGTATTGTAACACTAGGTATTAGAATTGGGTATTCTATTTTAATATAACCACTTCAAAAGAATGTTTTCTTAAAAAAGAAAGTCTAAAAAAAATAAAATCCTGTCTAGTCTAAGAGTAAATAGTCTAAAATACTTTGAACATGACTTTGAGGGAAGGGGGAATAAGTCCTAAAAATATTAGGATTTATTTTACTTTGGGGGCAGAAATATTTAAAAGAACAGCTACCTAGTTAAATTGACTTAGTAACACCTTGGGTTGTTCATGTTTATTCAAAAAATAATTAAATATTTGCTTAATTTTCTTGCTAGAGCTTACAGTAAAAATGTTGAAGGACAGGACTTACTTTTGAAAGAATACCCTAATGACTTTAGTAGTGATCAGCAAGGTGCTGCCGAAAGTCCGCAGAGTCAGGATCTGAGTGCACATGGCTCACCTTCAGTAAATGAAAGCCAGGAAACCAAGGTAAGTGGAACCTTTCAGTTGCCTTTTATCCTTTTTAAAACCTGTTTGTAAAAACTGCTGGTTGCAAATTAAGCATTCACTCCATAACAAATTCAGTATGATAATCCGGTATAGAATGCTGGCTACAAATAAGAGGATCTGTACTCCAACAATCTAGTTCCGTTACTATGAACACTTATCTTTTTTATGGAACACTAGAGGCCCCGTGTATAAAATTCATGCACTGGGGGTGGGGGGAGGTACGGGGGTGTCCTGTGCCCTCTTGCTTCCAGGAAATCTCAGGGAATGTCCGACTGATGGCTTAGGCCCGCTCCAGGAACCTGGATGTGGGAGAGGCTCCCGCCACTGCGCTCACCAGCCATGAGCCTAGCTTCTGGTTGAGCGATTCTCCCCTGTTGGAGCACACTGACCACGAGGGGGCAGCTCCTGCATTGAGCGTCTTGCCCCCTGGTGGTCAGTGTACGTCATAGCGACCAGTTGTTCCACTGTTCAGTCGATTTGCATATTAGCCTTTTATTATGTAGGATATCAATACCTAATCTCACCTACTCATTATTCTGTTAGGAAATAGGGATTCTATCAAACTTTCATTACAAAACAAATCTGAGTAAAGAGAACACACCTAGCACAGAGTGAACATTAGCCACTATTTCTCTTTTGTCTCCCCATCCCCACAGATCGAGGTCTAACCTCAAGGAGACTGTTTTCTAACACTGCATAAAGTTCTCCCACCTTTATTCATACGTAGGTGTTGGAAAAGAAGAACCATATCTAGAATGGAGTCTATAGAAATTAACAGGCAAGTTGTCTGTAATTATGGGATGCCAATGCAGATAGTGAAGTATAGAAGGAGATCAAAGGGCCTTTCCCAAAGCGCCCTAGGCTGAAAATGAAGACCAGTGCCCCAAGGCAGCGTTTCCTCTTCAAGGAAGAGGCAAAGGGAACAATTCCCCAAGGTCCCTAACAATTCGCAGTATGTTCCATTTTGAGTTGTTACTTAAATTCAAATGAAAATTTGTACATTTATGTGCTAAAGAACACCACAATAGTTATCACAAAATTAACATTAATTTTAAACAAAACAATTAGTTGAAACTTAACTGAACATGTTTTCTCTTTCAGTCTTTGTGGTGGGAACGACGGGCTTTTCCGCTGAAGGATGAAGACACAGAAGCCTTATTATGCCAAGATAAAAAAAATGATCAGATTGAAAGTTCAAGCCTCGCTTTCAGTGGTGAAGTCTTCTGTACCAGCGCACCAGAGAACGGCCAAAATCCCAAAAGGCAGGCAGACGGAATGGAAGAATACAAAACCTATGCTGTAGGACTTACTCATGTTAAAAAAAAAATAGGTGACAAGGAACAGGTTAAAAAAATGATGGAACTGAATGGAAAACAGGAGAAAAAATAAGCCCCTCCAGTCACAATTCCAGAGTAAGAGCATATACTGCATATAGTAATCTTTTATGCTCTCTATGCAACAGGCAAGGTATGTCTCTCTTTCCTTCTTGAACCACAGGAGTATCTAACTAGCTTTTCACTTACAGACAAGTGGCTAGTCATTCGTGTTTATGATACAGATCATAAGCACCAAAAAATTAACTGCTGCAATTTGGTGTCAAATCACATTACTGGCTGAATTTTTAAAAGATTTCACACCCACACATACATATATAGAAACACACACATACCTGTGCAGCAAATGACAGGTCTTCTTTTTTCTATACACATGGTACTGGAATATACAAATGTGTGTACAGAGTATAAATATATACACACACATATGCACTGGCAGATACCACTCCAAAATACATGTATGAATTACCCCATGAAATAAGCTGCAGTATAAATAAAGCATCACAGGTTTCCAATGATAGTGAACACCTGAAAGTCTTGGCTACGAAGAGGGATTTTAAAAAACATGTTTAAGTAATAGAAGTTACTTATGGAAATGTCTATACCAGGTAACACAATATTATTTTATTTGAAATCAGTGATATCTGTTGAACTAAACACAAGTCACTTTCTATGCACCCCTAACAGAATAGGACAAGCAAAGTAGAGTTAAATATTGGTGTTTTTAAAACTATTACCTCCTTTAAAACTCAAAATAAGCAACACAGGAAAGTTCTGCCAGTATAAAAATATTAATGTATTTCTAGTTAATTTGGTCATTCTTTATTACTCTATTCAAATAAGCATCTATTCTTACTTGTATTCTAGAGTGGAATTAAAACTATCCAAAGGATAATGCTTCAGTATTACCAATACTGGATACTGAAGTGTACATTAAGGAAAATTCCTTTTGAAAATATTACATCATTTTTTTCTATATAAAAGTTGAGAACAATTTATATGAATTGTTTTTTTCTCATGTAAAAAAGGTTATTCAAGTTGTAGTACCCATATAACTTGACAATCCTGGCCCAGACTTGGGGGATTTGACACTGTTTTGTTAGGGACTAGAAATTATGCTAGTCCCTTTAAAGAAGAAAAAAATTCAATACTGACAAATTTTTGCTTGTAGTTTTACTGTACATTTATTATTTTTTTTAAGAAAACAAAAGCCAGACAAACCCAAGTTGTCCCAGGCACGTAAACTCAAATCTTTCTGTCATGTCTCATTATTATAATCTTCTATGTAAGTTTTTTAATTAAAGTTATTTCTATATGTCTTGTGTTGTCTGATTTGATAAAACGCCACCTATACATGGCACAAAACTTTCCTCCTAAGCCAAAATACATGTTAAGAAACACATTTTTACCTTGTAATGTAGAATAAAACCAAGCAAACTCTATTCCATACATGTTCTTATTTTCAATTACTTTTTTCTTAAAATTCACAGTAGTCTAAAGAAGTTCAATGACACTGGTCCTGTTATTTCTTGCCATATGTATTACATAGCAAGAGTATTTGCAATAATTAAGTGACTGACATATTTGTTGTCAAAATATGATTTGGGACACAATTATAAATATTTAGTTTATGGAATGATTCTGTACCTTGCCATCTCTTAGCCTACCTGGTCTTTCTTGGATTAATAAAATACATATCCTTTAGGGTCAAAATCCATAGTTCTGGGATATCCTCAGCAATCTGGTTCTGCTACAGGGTCAAGTTAGACTGGAAATAAGACAATGTTAAGAAGCTTCCTTTGCCTAATCCACCTCCCAAGGCCTCCAGTTGTAAAAAGAGTACAGACCAGAAATCCTGTGCCCTACTGAGTCTTTTCTGTGCTTGTAGCCTATTGCTGAGCTTCAGTGTCTTCATTTTTAAAAAACGGGGACAAAGATACCTGTCTGCCCACTCACAGGAGTGATTCAAAGATTTAATGAGATTAGCAAAGTACTTTATTACCTACAAAACATAAACTTTATAATGATAGCTACTTTGTACCGAGCATCCTCAATTCTATGCCAGTTCTAGGAATAATGGTGGAAGCTTTACATATGTAAGAGTATCTTTTTTCATCCTCAACACAACCCTGCAGTTATTATAACTAAATTCAATGTATAAATCAGTTAATAGAAGCTCAAAGATGTTGGTTGATTTGATTTGCTAAGTGAAATTTGGAAAGGGGAAGAGTAAATTCAATCTTACTTCCAAAAAGAGGCTTTTTTTTCCCTTTCTGCTCAGAACTAGCACATTACCTCACATCCTTACAAACGGTCGGTGTGATTAAGGGGAGATGGTGGGCAAATCAATGAATCATCTGCCCTTGCAGCAAAGCTAACAGAACACCTGATAAAATCTATGTATTTTACAACAGACCCAAAACTCCTGGGCTTCAGACATGGTTTTCTTATATCATATATAAGGTGCAAAGTGAAAAAATAGATGTTTTAGAAGCAAGAAGAATACGGTATGCTATCCCAGCCATAGATTTTCCCTAACTTCTATTCTACTGATAACGCATAGAGACAAACCAAAAATGACAAGGAACAGGAAAGACATTAGAACTTACTTTGCTTTTTGAAAACAGCCAAGAAACAATAGAAATTTCTTTTTAGAAGTGGAGAAAAACATTTTTCATAGTAGCTATTGTGCCTTCCTTAGGCATTAAGACACATTTCTATTTATAACCTTAATACAACCGTATTTTTACTCTTTATAAAAATCAAGTCTCCCAGTAAAAATGGCATTTCACCCCACTAATCTTTAAATCCCTTCACTAAATTTCTAACCTCTTGGGACATTCTGCACAACAGATGTTAGTCACTGGAATGAATTGCTCAGAAAAGCAGCACTGTTGTGATATGAGTTGGTAGTCAATATTCTTGTTCTCCAGTAAAAGCATTTCATGAGCAGAGACACTGGACTCCTTGTGCTTTCATCGATCAAGAGAACGTTTCTGAGCAGCTTCTGAGCAAACATTTCTTAACAGGTTGATCACAGATCTCGGGTCTTCACTCCTCATAATGGCACTGCCAGACACAATCATGTTAGCTCCTGCCTGGAAGAAGTAAACACTTAGTTATGCTTCTAAGAAAGACACAGAAAAGCCTAAAACAGAATTCCTGGACTCGAGTTTCTACCCTTGCATCTGTCAGTCAGCACTTAAACTGTACAAAAGCCACTTGGAGATGAACAGATTGAAGAAAAAAGTTAAAATGCTTAACAAATAAGGCTGTGAAATGGTTTTTAAACGTGTCTGAGAAATCACTGACTTTTTAAGTAACAAACTCTAAATAAGCTATACTGCATCTTTGCTAATAATTATCTTTAATCCTCAACTCTATTAAGGTTTTTCCAATATATACCAATATTTCCATAGCTTCTAAAAAAACTACCTTTTAATTTTGAATTATGTAGATGAATTGGTGGATAGTCTGAAAGGACAATGTTGCTAAAATGTGAAGTTATGTATAAAATACAGCAACATTCAATAATTTCTCATTTTGAGGCTAGAAGGAATGGAAAGTCTCACTTAGGCTTCACTGTAGCCAGAATGGCTTTAAGGTGGCTTAAAGAATCTCAAGGTGTTCTTAAATATAAAAATAAAAATAAAGGAAAGGAAATAATACCCATCAAAATTTAGCTCTGTGCTTCCTAGGATTTGACTTGAGGAGGGAAACCCAATCGATGACGTGATTCATTGCCAAAAGAAAGGGGGAACCACTGAAGCTGAAGAAAATTTTCCCAATGAGATGCTGTCACTCTATGATACAGTGTACTTACTACAGGTCTAAGAACATTCCTCATAAAAATGAAAAAGTTTCATGTGCTACAATAATCTTTTAATGTAAACAGGAATAGCATAATGGCAAGGAGTAGTTTAGCAAAAAGAATTCCACAGGGAGTCAAAGCATATATGCTCACTGAACATTTGGGCAGCTCCTCTTCCATACTTATCACAGCCCAGCTTTTGACAAGTATTAAGCAGAAAAGTGTGGCATTTATACAAAAACTAGAAGTGCAGATTAGACAAGGTTGCTTAGTAAGAACAGGCCACTTCAATCACCTGCAGTGCTATAGGAAGGGCTGGCATCCTCTTAATGAAGCTCAGGATCCTAACTCAGCTCAGCTAACTACTCAGAACTCATCCCAGCTCAACACAGAGGGTTAGGGGTATCCAGAGATCAGATCCAGAATTTCAACAAAAATGGCCCTAGTCAGTTCTTACAAGAGACAAATTGGTAATAAAAATACCTAAGTTCTACAGAGTAACAATTTTTTCCCTTTATAAGAAGGTATGCTTTCTTTCTCTATTTGGACAAATGACTAATTCCAAGGCCCTGGAACTTAATGATCTTCTAAAGTCTGGCATTCAGTATATTCTTTTTCAAAAGGGAACTTTCTTCAACATTACTGAGATAACCAAACTTAATATTTAATGATTATGTGATTTTAGAATATTCACTTATTGCTCTTTATTTTCCTATTAGTGCCCTGGTGCACAGATTCATGCACCATTGAAAAGAAATTAATTAGAAGGTGGCCGGCGGGGCGAGAAGGGCCGGACATGCCCTGGAGCCAACCTCCCACAGTCCCTCCCTGGCCGGCCAAAACTGGGGTGCAATATAACTCAGAGGGCATCTGCAGAATGAGGGGGGTCCCTGGCCTGCGGGGATCAGGCCGAAACCAGCTCTCTGACATCCCTCTGAGAGGTCCTGGCGTGCAGGAGGGCACTCTGCAAAGTTGCTGGCGTAAAGGGTGTGGAACGCAAATGCAAGTGTGCAGTAAACCAGATTCGGGCCGAAAGTGCCCCAGTAACAACATAGTCCACGACCGAAGGTGGAATCGCGCAGCCCCACGAGGAATCAGGCTCCCTCCTCTCTGGTTTCAGGGTGCATCACCCGAGAACCGCCACTGCCAAGTCACTGTAGCTCTGCAGCTCCTGCATTGAGTGTCTTACCCTGGTGGTCAGTGTGTGTCATAGCAACCAGTTGGACACTTAGCATATTAGCCTTTTACATAGAGAGTTCTACATTTGAACAAAAATACTTTTCCACCCTAGCTGGCTCAGTGGATAGAGCGTTGGCCCATGGACAGAAGGGTCCTGGGTTTGATTCCAGTCAAGGGCATGTTCGTTGGTTGCAGGTTCCCCAGCCCTGGTTGGGGTGCAAGCAGGAGGCAACCAATTGATGTGTCTGTCTCACATAAATATTTCTCTCTTTCTCTCCCTCTCCCTCTCCCTCCCACTATCTCTAAAAATCAATGGAAAAATATCCTCAGGTGAGGATTAACAAAAAACAAAACAAAACAAAAAAACACACAACACCACACACAAATATTTCCAAGATAGAAAGGTAACTTAGGAAATGTAAAGGAAATCTCTTTGGCCCACAAGACAATGACCTGGACATCACATCTGACAGGAAAATGGTCTAAGTCACAGTTGAGGCACAGTCTCACCTCTGCACATTTATGGATAGTGTCAGGACCTACTCCACCATCGACCTCTATGTCCAAAGACGGGAACTGGGTCCGCAACCAGTGGACCTAGATATACACAAGGAAATAAGTGACTCCTAAAGTAGATATGATGGGGATGGGGACACAACCAAAAAAAAACAAACAAAAAACCTCAAACAGCCAATATCACCCACTAAAATAGGACTCCAAATGTCTCACACAGTAACTTCATAACAATACAAACTATGGGGAAAACTTCCCTTTTAATATACTGAAACAAATTAAGTTTCCCAAAAGCAAGCTTTGTTCTTTTTGGCAAACGGCATTAAATTTGTCATGGCTTTTCAGAGAACATACTTCATGGTAAAAAGACAAAACCCTCAATATTCAGTGAAAACTCCCAAAAGCTCTAAAGCAGTGGTTCTCAACCTTCCTAATGCCGCGACCCTTTAATACAGTTCCTCATGTTGTGGTGACCCCCAATTTCATTGTTACAAATTGAACATAATTAAAGCATAGTGATTAATCACAAAAACAATATGTAATTATATATGTGTTTTCCGATGGTCTTAGGCGACCCCTGTGAAAGGGTTGTTCGGCCCCCAAAGGGGTCGCGACCCACAGGTTGAGAATCACTGCTCTAAAGGCTATAGAAATAATGGTTTGGGAAGAAAATTTCAAGGTTAAAATGTAGTATCTTTTCTGATTTCCAGACCTAAATCTTTTACAGCATTTATCATAATGTATTAAGTAATCTGTAGGCATTTCCATGTCTCCACCTTCAGAACAGGGCATATACAAGTGATTTAATATATACTTATTGAATGAGCAGTCATAAGAGCTTCACCCCAGAATCAAATCCTTCTTTTACCTTTGGCATCATATCTTCCATGAATTTCTGCCCTCCAAACCCAGGTTCCACTGTCATAACCAAGGCCATATCTATTTGATTAGCCCACGGTGCCAAATACTCAACTGTAGTTCCTGGTTTGATGGCAAGACCAACCTGTGACAGAGACAAATGTGCTAAATCACATTAACAATCACTTCCACATTACATTTATTACTGTGGCATATCAGGCCCAGTAGAAATACCTATTCTCAAAAAAGGAGAATACATACATAAAAGGAATGGGTAAATTGTTCGGACTCTATAATTATTTAAAAAGTCAACTAGGCTATTAAATGTAAATGTTTCTAAAAAAGCAGTCATAATCAGAAGAATTATTACACATTATTTTACTTATACAAAAAACAAGTTATACTTAATACACTGGCTTCCCAATGAAGAACAGCTGCCTAAGTCTGGTCTTAGAAATGTAAGAAATGCCTTCCACCAAATCTTCCCAACTCTGAGCGTGAGTAGTATAAAACATTACTGTCATGGCTGACCTCTCACCTTCATCCCATTCTCCCGAATGTCTTTAATCAAAGCCCCTGGGTTCTCAGTAGCCTCGAGATGAAAGGTGTACTGATTAGCTCCTGCTACCGCCATTGGTTTTACCCACTGTTCGGGCCTCGACACCATCATGTGCATGTCTAGAAAGAAAAGACACATCTCCTAAATATTACCAAAAGGAAAATACCTGGCTCATACTACTGAAGCCAACCTGTAGTTTTCCCCATTTTGTATACATACTCTTCTGACATCACAATAATTTTTAAATAATTACACTTCTGTATAAGTAGCCTCCTTTTATCCTGAAGATTAGGTTTTGGTTAAACTCATTCACACACACACACACACACACACACACACACACACACACACACATTTTTGTACAATAAGCATCTGTTGCTGTATATGGAAAGTAATGACTAGAAATCAGGAAACCTAGGTCCAGGTCTAGTAAATATGACTCAAAAAAACCCTTTTTAAAAAGTCATTATCTGTGAAAACTGTCTTCATTTATAAAATAAGAAAGCTAAATTAAGTGATTCTCTTCACCAGTATTTTATTGAGCACTTACTGCACCATTAACTATTTTAAGGCCCTAGGGATAGAGCAAAACGACAAACAAAAATCTGCTGTCATGAGGATTACATTCTTAGCAGGAGAGACAAACCATAAAAAAATTAAGTAAATACAATACACACTAGGATGACAATTAACAAAGCCAGTGTGGCTGGGGCGTGGAGCAATGGGGAGAGTAAATGAGGTCAGAGAGGCACGGGGTGAGGAGACAGTACTGAGCTCTGCAGGCCATTAGGTTTTATTCCAAATGAGATGAGAAAAACACCACTGGATTTTAAGTGAGGATGTGACAAAATCTGACTTAGAAAGCCATGGCCATCACCCAGGTGAGAAAGGATGACGGTAATAATTGAGGATGTTGGGAAGTGGTGGGATTCTGGGTGTGTCCTGAACATAGAACCAACAGGAGCTGCTGTGGATTCGATTTTGGACAGTGAGAGGAGAGGCAGAATGGTGCAAGGATTGGGGCTGGAGTAACCAGAACAGAACTCCATTAACTGAGAGGCAAAACTGCAGGAGGAAGCATGAATTGGAAGGGGAGAAGGACATGTTAACTAAAAGAAGTCTGACATGCATCCTAATTCTGAAGCTTGAATCATGTAAATATTATATTAGGTAAAACAGGTCTGACCTTCTTAAACATCTTGACTTGTAACTTAATAGCATTTAATAAGAAGAAGGCAGGTTAAAAGAGGCTAAATCAAGAAATAATCATTGTGAAGAAGAAAACAGTAAATACATACCCCTGTGCAGGATTGATGGTAGTGAGAAGACTTGAGTTTTTTGTTTTACTAAAGGAAGCACATTTCTGACATAGCTTAACTTATTAAAGAAAAAAATCCTAGTATTCCAGAAGTCAAGTAAGATTATGAAATGCACTAAGGCTTTGAAAAACTGTCAGGAAGAGTATACCACTTGACTAATGACACAAAGATTCAAGTTTATATTTCTAAACAAAAGGAAGAAAAAATAGAACACATCTTAATAGATAACACACAGTTTTTAAAAGACAGACTCTATTTGGTGTTTCTTATTTCTCTGTATTATAAACAAGGAAAATTCAATCTAGTTTAAAATATCTGGTTTACTCATTCCTTAAGTTACCAGACTGCTACGTCATTCCATTCCTCCCATGCAGTAACCACTAGCAGCGCTCACTGGAGACTCTCTAGCACTCAGGCAGTCAGTGGTTCAGTGAATCTGCCTGTAGTTAAACACACCGAGATGAGCAGTTCCCAAATGTTCTATTATCAGGTTCCCTTTACACTCTTAATATTACTGAAGACCCCAAAAAGCACTGCTGATATTGGTTATATTTACCTGTATTTAATGTATTAGAAATTCAAATTAAGAAAATGTTGACCAGCCACTGTGACTCAATGGTTGAGCTTCGACCTATAAAACCAGGACATCACAGTTCGATTCCCAGTCAGGGCACAAGCCTGGGTTGTAGGCTCATGCAGGAGGCAGCCGATGGGTGGTTCTCTCTCATCATTGATGTTTCTGTCTCTCTCTCTCTCACCTTTCCTCGCTGGAATCAATAAAAAATATATTTAAAAAAAAGGAAAAGAAAGAAAAAGAAAATGTTTATGTCTACTTATCAATTCATTTAAAAATAAGCAATAATAAATTTATGATGTTAATGTAAGAGTGGTGTTATTTTACATTTTTGCAAGTCTCTAACATCTGGCTTAACAGAAGACATCTGTATTCTTACATCTGCTCTACATTCACTCTGTTACAATATGTTGTTTTATATGAAGAACATAAAAAAGTACATAAAAAAGGGAGGTGTACATTAATAGCCTTTTCAGACAAGTGTGGATATTCTACTTCTACACCAAAATTCAGCAAGTGGTTACTTTTAAAAAGGTTGGCTGAAATGTGGAATCTGTAAACCCTACCAATGACCTTTTCTACTTTGTTGCACTAAAACCTGTTGGTCTATCTTATAATATAAATGGATCTTTCAAGTATTGGTTCACTGAATTACACAGATCTTCTAAGTAAGATACATTTCATTATATGCTATAAAAAAAAGCACATTTATTACATCACAACAGATCTCATCACTATAGAAAAGCTCTTAGTAGTAGGAATTAGTCAAGCTCATAGCAGCAGATACATGTTTATCAAAATTCTAATTTTCACTTGCAAGCTCTACCTTTATCAGGGAGCAACAAAAGCTAATACGGTCTTTTCCTTGAAGTGACAGGCTAACTTAGATAATTTTTTTTAAAATGTCAGTAAAATACCAAGTCTGATAACCACAGTTCAATCTGTCAGTTGTTCTTGCACGTGAAAATGGTGTTCATAACAAAAGCAGACAGTTCAGTCACAACAGAAACAATGGCCTAAGAGGTTTTCCTGGAGAAAACCATCACACTCCAGCATGCAGCAGAGGTGCCTTATATGTACATTCTACTTTGTCACACACAATATTAAGAAGACATGCATTCAAGGATCAAGATTTACTAAAATTAATAATTTGCACTATCTCATTACAGATACTATGAACACATCACGATGAAGAATGTTAATGACTACTTGTAGAGTTGAATATCACTGCCTTGACTTGAGCTAAGGCAGCAGCAAACTAACTCACCATTACTTCTGCATCCTCAGAACAAATATGGCAAATAATACTGTAATATAAAGATAGTTTTGATCTCATACACAACTGAAAGGGATTCCCATGGGCCCTCAGACCAAATTTGAAGACCACTGATCTGGATAATAGCAAAAACAGACTTTTCCCTACCACTTTATTCCTTAAATGGTTATTCATACTCAGTACTAAGATTAAACAATTAAGAACTCTAGCAGTTATACATACAACTTGTGGTTTAATTCCTAGAATATATTCACGTATCAATTATCCAATAGCCAAGATCCAAGACTTAAACGAAACATACTTCTTAATTAAAAAAAGAAAAGATCACAAAATGCAACATTAAAGCAGAGAGAGTCCATTCTTCTTTATTTTAGACCCAATTCTAGAAAGGTTAATTAGTGACTTTATCAGCAAATAAACTAAAACAGGAAGAAAAAGCAGATTGTATGTGGTGGTGGCAGTAGGGTTGGTAAGAGGAGAAGCACTTACAGTAGGACACACAAACGGCAGTGAGAAGTGACACTAGGAGCCATACACAAAGCTGAAACAGAGGACTCTGTGGCCACTGTATAGGGGGACAAACAAGGCTACTTATTTCATCCACCTCTGATAGTCAGAAGAACAAATTTACATTGGAAAATTCTATAATTTGGAAATTGCAAAATGGCGAACATGTTGATGGAACACTGTTTTCCTCTTGCCACATAAATAGGTGATAATGTACATTTTCTTTGGTTCACTCAAAGTGAATGGACACTACAGAGAGGCTCTGTCCAACAGCACTTTCTACAATGATGGCCATGTTCCATAGTGGTATTATACAATACAGCAGTCACTAGCCACGTGTGCCTGAGAACTTGCAATATGGTTAATACCACTGAGAAACTTATGTACAAGAGATTTGGCAAGTGAGGCACTGCTAGCTTAGTTTAAAAGAGCAGCAACAATATATGGGCTGAATTCATTTTCCATTAGAAGTAACTTCTAGGTTACTGTGTGATCTTATAAACCTTAATTCACAATATCCTACAGCATTGAAGTGGGAACATATATAAGCCCCACTTGCAGAAAGTTCCAATTTGCATGAAATAATTGGCTCCATTTCTAGACCATAAAAATCAATCCATAAATTCACTTAACATTACACTGAGCCCCAATCTTGTTTCTATGCTTAGCTCTAGGAAATCTCTACAATCAGGGAATTTACAGTCTAATAAAAATAACCTCAGATTAAAGGAAGTTCTAAGAAGAATATCCAGAAGCTGGTATAACTGGATAAGGGTTAACTTAAGATAGGATGCTTAGAAAGGCCTCTCTGAGGAAATGAGAAATGATCCAAGGCCAAAAGATGAGGCAGACCTAGACAAGTGAATAGCTTTCCAGGCAAGAAATTAGCAAAAGTCCCAAGGCCCTGAGACAGGCAAGAGTTTGGCTTATTATAGGCAGCCAATGAAGCCCCAGCACAGATAGGGGGAAAAGGGGTTCTAGATGAAACTGAAAGTTGAGAAATCAACCATCTTTTCCTTTACTTGAGCAACACATCCAGCTTCAGATGGCGTAACACCCACTTACCAAAGAAAGGGTCCTGGCCTAGCTGCTTTCGGAGGCTTTCTACCACAGGGTGACCAAAGGTGATGTTGGGAACAAAATGCCTACAAGACAAACAAAATCTTACTCTGAAAATATTTTCAATATGTATTCTGATGGGGGTAGAGGGGAATGTCTGTGATTATACTATTTTTCAATTTAATACTTAATGTCATCAATATTAAACAATACTAAAATTATCTGAATAATTTTGGATTTACAAAGCAGTATCTCCTTGATATTTGAACAAATCATAATAATGTTAAATAATGATTTAACTCTGTAATTCATAATCCCAGACGGGTAGAACTAGAAAGATGACAAAATCAAAACCCAGAAGTTATATGACTTGCCCAAGTCATATACAGTGGAAGCTCATTTCTCGAACTTAATTCATCCTTGAAGGCTGTTTGAAAACGGAGTCATTTTTTCCCATTAGGAATAATGTAAATTGAATTAATCCATTCCAGACCCCAAATGATTCCGTTTTAACCTTTCTTATATACAGTACCTGTCTATTGTACTGTTTAACCTATAAATCAGTGGTTCTCAACCTGTGGGTCGAGAACAATGAAAATACATCCTGCATATCAGATATTTACATTACGATTCATAACAGTAGCAAAATTACAGTTATGAAGTAGCAACAAAAATAATTTTATGGTTGGGGGTCACCACAACATGAGGAACTGTATTAAAGGGTCCCGGCATTAGGAAGGTTGAGAACGACTGCAAACACTTTAAAAACAAAAAGGACATTAAATGTAAATGAAAATTTAACAAAAAGGAAAGAAAATATACAGTAAAAAAATGAAAATTTAGCAATAATTATAAGCAGCAACAAAAGCAAAAACAAAACAAAAAAACCACACGAAAATATTCACAGCATAATATCCTGAGGTTTTAACAGTGGTAAACTGACTCATATTTGCCCATTCTTTCCTTTATTTGTCACCTGAGATGCATGATTGATCATACAGGTATCAGCATGAAAGGGTTGTCAGGTGGAGCAGTAAATTGTTCCAGATGGGAAATGTTCAAGAAAAAGTCCCTCTGTACTAGTTAGAAAGTTCTGGACTGTAATATGGATCTTTCATATCCTAGTTTGTTATAGGCTGGTTGAGGCTACTTTTAATCCTATACCACAGGGCACTAAATGACAGTTTATTTAAACTTTCAGCCTTATGAAATAAACGTGTTATATGAAAAACATAGAATAAATAACTTCCTTAAGTCAACCAATTAATTATTTGTGGGGCAAGAATCAAAGTAAGTTTTCCAAGTATCAGACCCAAAGAACTTAACCATCGTCCTACTCCTGTTAGTCCTCGAGTTCTATTAAGCACCATGCTGGTTGCTTTAGAGTACTGTATTTTATTAAAAAAAATACATGTAAGAGTCCCTGCCTAGCCCAGAAAATGCTACAATCTCATTGGCAAGAGATGCCTAATAACTCACCAGAATTCATGACCTACTGTTATTGGATAGTTGATAGGAAGCCAATGCAGACAACCAAGGACCACATTTCCCAACTCCCTTTACATCCAGTTGGCCCATATGACTAGTCTTCACCAGTGGGACTGTGAGCTTAAGTTATGTGTGTCACTGCAGAGCCCAATAGGTTAAATAGTATTCCTTTTCTGTGCTCATTTTACCCTTCTGCCAATAAAGAAGCCCTTAAGGAATAAAAAAGCCACAGGATAAATAGTCTATGGCCGGCCCTTGGATCAGACTGTCCAATCTCAGTGGGAAGGTGGGGGTGGGTGGGAAGAGATCAATCAAAGAACTTGTATCCATATATACATAATCCATGGACAGACAATAGGGTGAATGAAGGCCTGGAGCGGGGAGCAGGGGTGGCCTAGAAGGAGGCAATGTGGGAAGAAAGGGGACATATGTAACACTTTCAAAAATAAAGATTAAAAAAACGTCTATGCCACTGAACTTTATCAGGGAAGGACATTCACACTGAATTGTTACATGAATGAGAAATAAACTTGATAATGTGAAGCCACTGGAATATAGGCTTTATTTGTTAAAAGTAATAGGTATTACCCTATATGAGGATTGCAAGAAAAGCTAAACAATAACAAGTAGACAAGAGGTAAAACCAGTTCCAGAGGCAAGGAGTATAGCATTTTACAAGAGGGGGGAAGATCATGAGATTTACAGAACAGAATTTTAAAGGTGGAAAAATAAATGAAGCAAAGGCAGAAATAAACAAGTTATGCTCAAAGAAGGAGGAAGATGGTGTTTACCAGATTGGTTAGTGTGAAAAAGGCAGGAAACCGACTGTGTCACAGTAAGGGTATCAAATGCTGGGCTCAGTGTTCAGATTTCATCCTGCTATAAATATGAAATGAGGTTTTAAAATAAAAAGCAAATAAAAAATAAGATGCAAATAATAAAATAGGAAGGGACTGGGGACTAAATTGGAAGAAGGGAGGTAATAGGTGTTGGCAAATGACAAGGAACAATAACAGAAACAAAAACAGGTAAAGGATTTGTTAACTGGTAAGATGGGGGTGTGGTGGAGAGAATACACCATGGTTAAGATTTTAAGTTTAGATGACCAGCTGAATGAGTGTTAAACTGAGATTTTAACAGTTTAAACTTGTATGGACCAGGCACCATTCTAAGCACTTTCCATGTGTTAACTCATTAAAACTTACAAGTCTATGAGGTAGATACTACATTATCTGTATTTTATTGAGGAGGAAAAGAGGCCGAAGGTCATACAACCAGGTAGTGCTGGAGGCAAGCGTTAAAGGCAGGCAACCTGGCTCCAAAGTTCAAGCTCTTTAGAGTCTCACCTGCCCCTCCACCAACAAACTAATAACGAACAGAAAAAGCAAATCCAGGTGAGGAAAGTTAAGAGGGAGAGGTGAGGGTTCAGGACACATCTGAGAGGGGCTGGTGAGATGGATGGGTACAGACACGTTCACTCACACTCCTTGGTCCTTGGTGGTTGGGGTTTTAGCATTTAGGAAGTCATCTAACATTTGCCTAAGAGCAACAATTGCTAGGGTTATGCCTAAGAGGTTTATTATGTTTACTTACAACTTGGAAGTAAGGGTCAGAGAAGGAGGCAGTGAGGCTTAATGAATATTATACAACTCTGGAATTGAAAGATTAGTATTTCGTTCACTGTCTGGCCTTGGAAATACAGGCATACCTTGTTTTATTGCACCTCAAAGGTGTGTTTTTTGTTGGTGGTGATTTTACACAAACTGAAGGGAAGACCCCCACCAGTAAAAAGATAACGAGAACTCACTTTATTGCAATCCTCACTTTATTACAGTGGTCTGGAATAGAACTCAGTATCTCTGAGGTATGCCTGTACATTTGTTGTCTCAAATTTAGGTTTCATTTATCATGAAAATAAGCATCACCACATCTTGAGAAAATATGAGAATAAAACAAATATACTTTTACTTCATTGAGAAACAGAAGCAGACTGTATAAAACTACTGACCCCCAAATTATATGACAAATTGTGCTACTGAAGATCAATTAAATGCACCACGTTCACCAAGTACACTGGGAGAACAAAAATGCACCAATACCCTAAGAAACCAAAGGCTTATAGCTAAACCGTAACAAAAAAAGGCTACAAACGCAAACATGAATTCAGGGTGACCAAAAATTTGCTTGACAACAGTAACCAGGTGAACACTTACAACAAAAGGATTTATAGGCTCTACTCCAAGCCTACTGACACCAAAAAGGGGCTGGGAATCTGAATTCTTAAGTGCACAGGGAGCTCTTATCAGACCAGCTTGGAAAACACTAAAATATTTCACTCTAATGAAGAAAATTTTATCAAGGAAGTCTGCTTCATTATTACATTATGGTCTTTTTTTTCCTTGAGGGTACTTTTGGGAGTAAAGTCTGCAAAAAATAAAATTCAATAAAAAATACTTTTCCCCCAGAAAACTACTGAAATTAAACTATAATTATTTACTGTAACACAGGGATACAATTATTTTAGCTCATCATGTTCCATCAACCCTAAGCTTTGTTTACAATGGTCGCGCAATATATTTTAGACATATCAAACCTTTACCAGAACTCTCAAAAAAGCAAAGATGATAAGAGACGGACTAACTTTGATATAAAATGTCAAAGACTAACCAGAAAACAATTCCTGTGAACCAGGACTCACAAACTCATATGTTTACAAGGACTAGCAGGTAACATGGAGAAGCAAAACAGTGAATAAAGAACACCTGGCCTGGCTAATGGTGGCTGTCATTCATCTCCAGCCTATCGGGGCCTTGTGAGACTGGACCAGTACTGGCAAACCTTTGGATGCCTTTCGAAAGTCAGATTTTTAGTATTAATATGAAACCTCCCCAATTTTAAATTCTGGTAATTAACTTAGAAATTGCTTATTTGCAACCTAGCTGGTTTGGCTCAGTGGATAGAGCATCAGCCTGCAGACCAAAGAGACCTGGGTTCGAATCCAGTCAAGGACATGTGCCTTGGTTGCAGGCTCCTCCCTGGCCAGGGCCCTGGTTGGGGCGCATGCAGGAGGCAACCAATCCATGCGTTTCTCTCACATCGATGTTTCTGTCTTTCCCGCTCTCTAAGACAGCGGTTCTCAACCTGTGGGTCTCGACCCCTTTGGGGTTCAAATGATCCTTTCACAGGGGTCACCTAAGACCATCGGAAAACACATATATAATTACATATTGTTTTTGTGATCAATCACTATGCTTTAATTATGTTCAATTTGTAACAATGAAATTGGGGGTCACCACAACATGAGGAACTGTATTAAAGGGTCATGGCATTAGGAAGGTTGAGAACCACTGCTCTAAGAGATCAATGGGAAAGTATCCTCAAATGAGGATTAACAAAAAAAAAGAAAAGAAAAGAAATTGCTTATTTGCTGTTTCCACATGTAGGACCAACACATTTCCAGTTACCATCCTGTCATGATGAATTTATGTGTGTTCTAACTTTCTTTTCCTCTTGTCCTTTATTTCAAATATCTAACCATACCAGTGCCCCACCTCCCACCAGGTTTCCAGAACTTGTTTCTGACTTTCAAGATGAAGACATTCAGTTTAATAAGAAGAGAAATGGAGTCTTAGTGGGAAGGTGGGGGGACGAGAAAAGAACACACACACACCCAAACTCAGTGTAATGTTGGAGAATTTCAAAGGGAGCCAGGAGAGAAAAGCATGGAAACGGTACCTGGAGGGAAGGAAACTGTGGTTGGCCACGTGGGGAAAGGAGTCCACCAGCACCCCCGCCCCCACCTTTTCATGCCCCTGGCCTAGGGGACACTGCAGCTCAGCCTGGCTTTACCTCTTCTGGTGGGACGGTCAGGAAGGCGCTGAACCTGCTTAAACTGGTCTCCTCCTTTGTAATAGGGTAATAGGAATAGTAGCTGATAGCTCAAAAAGGGGTGAAGCTTAAAAGGGAAAGGGTTTTTAAGTGGTGTGTGCAGAATTTAGTTCTTTCATACTAACATGTATCTTGCAGAGGGGGAGAAGGGTCAATAAAAAAAAATACTTTTATCTTCATCTTGGGATTATGATACAGCCTTTCATTTATTGGATCAACTATAACTAAGCTTGTTATGGTGCTTTACCCGCAACGAATAGAGCTGAACCAGAAAGACAGATTCTGTTATCAGGGAGCTTACAGTGTAGTAGGAGAGATGAAATGGGAACAAAAGTAGTGTATAAATTATCAGTTGCTCTGTAAGGAGGGAGAATGTCTTAGCCATCCTCTGCAAGCCCACAACCCACAGAAGACATGTATTTCTGAGACAACACAGCGTTTGCCTGCTCCCCATCCTGGCTCCACCGTTTCCTAGCTAGGACACCCCCGAGAGTGACTTGATCTCTTCGCATTTGATTCCTCACTGTCAAAAGCCGGTGATGACGACAGCACCCACCTCTTAAAAGTGGTGTGAGTGCCCTAGCCGGTTTGGCTCAGTGGATAGAGCGTCGGCCTGCGGACTGAAGGGTCCCAGGTTCGATTCCGGTCAAGGGCATGTGCCTTGGTTTCGGGCACATCCCCAGTGGGAGGTGTGCAGGAGGCAGCTGATCGATGTTTCTCTCCCATCGATGTTTCTAACTCTCTATCCCTCTCCCTTCCTCTCTGTAAAAAATCAATTAAATATATTTAAAAAAAAAAAGTGGCATGAGTTAATTCCAAAAGGCACCACTGGGACAGAAATAGCTAAGAGCTATTGTTATCATTAATATTCCCAGTTTTGGTGAACACACTTATGCAAAGCCAAACTGTTCTCTGTGTCTGATAGGCTACCTACACATCCATGCAGCCTGTTCCATCCTGAAACCCCTGGGTGTCTCTGACACAAAAATGTAGCTACACGCCGTTCAGTATATCACCTGTGAAAGTTCAGGGCTTTCGAGCAAAGCTGTCCAAAAAAAAAAAAAAGGACAGAAGTCGAATGACATACGATAGCAAACTAAAAATCAAGCTTTTGTCCGAGGCGATATTTACTAATTTTCTTACACTCTGAGCCCGGAGTTCCCGGGGTACTCGAAGGTCAAGATTTTGCCATTCTCAGGTGGTCAAACCAGGAAGGCAGAAGGGAAAGAGAAGCCACGGATTTAACCACGCAAAGGAAGACAAAACTCTTATAAGAGGAGCGACGTTAAACACAGAAGTAACGGATCCTCTTTCGTCAACAACACAACTTGCAAACGTGCATGGGGGCACGCAGGGGCTTTACCCACATGAAACACCTGCGTCCCGACCCCGGGCCTCGGGAAGGCGGTTGGGATCGTCCGGCCGGTCATCCGCGGGGCGAACCCCAGGAGAGAGATCCGAGCTGCAACCAGACAGCGTCTCACCGCCTCGTCCAGGTTTGTACCTCATTTTATTCTCAAATTAAGAAACCAGCACCATCCTGGCTGCAAACAGTATCAGGTGCTGTAATCGCCGTGCTTAAAAAAGACTTACAAAAAACCCCCAAAAAACCCAACAACAACAACAACAAACGGGCTCCCCGCAGAGCAGGGTCCCTGGAAACAGACAGCAAAGTCACAATTGGAACCAAGATCCAACCAACCATCACGAATCTACGACAGGCCGGGCGCCGTGAACTTGAACCCGCGCCGCCGCCTCGTTCCATCTTCTCCCCAAGATGACGACTAAGCGGCAGGTCCGACTCCGACTCGCACTTTTTCACGCAGCGACACCGGCTCTACCAGGTGCGAGGGCGAGTCCGGGGACCCCGGGCGGCAGCACTCGGGCCCTCGCTCCGGGTGCCCGGTGTGGAGCCCCCGGCGTGGCCACCAACCCCCCACGTGATATGAACTTGGGCAAGTCATGCCTACCCCTCGGGCCTCAGTTTCCCTCACCGAACCTGAGAGGGGCGTCCTGGAGGTGGAGGTCGCTTCCGGGTGCGGAGGGCCAGGC